TTACAAAAAGTTTTATACAAATAAAAATAAACTTATCATATTATATTACACAACAAAAAAAATCTTGATAAAATTTGTACACACTATTATATTTATATTTAACGTTAGCATATTTTTTAACTCCTAACATTTCAATTAATTATATTCCACGGCTTGTTCTCAATCATTATAGGTAGTACCCCCTTTCTCCGCTCAGCTACCACGTATTTTAAAGAGTTAACACTCTAAAAACGCCTTTAATAACTGTACCCTCTGTCCTTTTTAGTCCTTTCTACTCCTGCTACGATGCTCCCAACTATAGCCCAGACAGCACAAATAGGTCCATTGGACGTCCATTCGATTTACAATTTTGGATGTCTAAACGTCCAATTTCGGATTATAATTTGACGTTGAATACAGGACACAAGAAACGTCCATTCCATTAAGACCACATGCCCACTTTTTTTTTAAACAACCGCAACTCACCACACACTATACTTCATTAATTAAAAATCTGCTTGACCTTAGCATCGATTGAATGCATGACACATCCATTATCGTTATATGCTTTCAACCGTTAGACGATCTTGAAGAAGGAGCCACTTTTTACTAGATATCCCACCTAGCACATAACGTTGCCAAGCCTTTCGGCGAAGTTGCATTAAGGGAACGTTCATGCGAAGTTGTTGAGGGAAATCAAAACCTCGCAAAACTTCTATTTGTTATTTACTTAGTTAACCTACGTGTTATGTTAACACAACGTAATAAAGTAATTTGCTGAAATAGTATCCACGAGAAGTACCGTGAACATCACAATTCTGAATTCGGAACGTTTATGTTTATGTCAATTGTCACTTGTTAGTTTTCTTGTCATTTGTCTTGTCTTTTTTGATGGTTTATTTTTTGACTTCCAGAATTTATTTTATAAATAATTATTATTTATGTTAGCAGCGGTGTGCCTCTGCTCCCCACCACACATTCTTGAAGTCCATACTCATGCGTGTCAGGATGGATGAGCAGGAAAAGGCAGACCTGCGCAGTGAGCATTACGCTAATAGACAGTGGCAATACCACAGCAACATTGTAATTGAGAATACTTGATCGTGAATAAAACCATTGAAAAAGCAGTTTAGACATTTTTATTAGGGATGATACATCCCTTATGTTTGTATTTATACATCCGAGTAGATTTTAAAGCCGATGGATGCGTTGGCTCATTGGTGAACTCACCGCTGAAAAAAATAATGATTGACACAATCGTTTTCCATCGCTTAATTGACGAACGGTTTGCTGCAAGCGCTGGATACAGCGCTGAATAAAAGAACACGCCTACACCTACATCTACTTTTGTGATATTGGTACTTGATTTCAAGAACATTTTAATAATAAATTTATATAAATATTTTGTTTTATTTGAAATTTTCGTGTCTCGATTGAGATTTTACTATAGCCTCAATTTCAGCCTCTCTGTATTACATTACACAAAGTGTTTCCATGGACTTAATTATACTTGTAAAAATATTTATTTTAATTTAAAAAAATAAATATTTTCACAAGTATAGTTAAGCCCATCCGTGGATACACTGTATAATGCTGTAGAACTAATTCACATTATAACATTTATAGAACGTTTCAGAGCAACTTTCGGGGTAAGTACCGTAAAAGTGCTAGTGTGATGTTTTTCGAACTTCACTTTGTAACGTCTGTGAGATGTGCTATAAAAGTCTTGCTGATGCGGACATGCAGAGATATTAAGGTTACATTAAAAGTACATCGCATAAGAGCTTAAAGAGCCTAAAATTGCAGCTTATTAAGGTAGATGGGATGATTTGTGCTAGCTGGGATGGTTATATTAGAATAAGATTTCAAACGACCGCTGATCGAATGAAATGCAATAGATTCAGTTTGCCAATGTTTAAAAAAAGCGTATATAGATGAGTACCCACTAAACATGAAACATTACCAGTCTTTTTTGTAACGTTTCTAATAGAGACTTTTCTTGGTATATTTTTGAAACTAAAATATCCCATAGATGTTTAACATCATATTCCTCGCATATATACATAAATATCTTTTGTACTTCTTTTTAGTTACTTCCTGTGACAAACATTTATACTATGTTAATTTTTATAAATCACAATAGTTGGACTTTTCAACTTTTTATCAACTCGTTATTGTCGTGAAGAACAATTGTGTGACGTTTTTCATCAGTACGCGTACATAATTTTGTTAGCGTATTACCACAGCTTATACAATACAGCTCCACAACTCCGTGTCGGCGTCTTTGATCTGGCGGTCGAGAACCAAGCAAGACGGAATTGTGCTATCTCTGTTAGATTCGAGGGAAAAGTCGGGCCCGGATTAAACAATTTTTTTATTATTGAAAAAATTGAAAACCTTGGCGTAATAAGGTTGGTTACATGCCATATTAAGTAAGTTTTGGGAAATTAAATTTTTAATTTGTTTTAAATCTGTCAAATATAATAAAAAAAAATTATTTAAATATAAATATTACGAAAAATAGCACATCTTTCGGATTAGAGGTAAAATAATTTGTATGTGGCTAGTAAAATCCTCGTTAACAAATGTTTTGAGCTAAAACAGTCACTTCACGACAAATTGTGGCTTGGATCCTTTTTACACCAAGGGCTTCAATTGTTAAAGAATTGTGTCACGCTCGTGGATGCAAATCAAGTGGTACCCCGTGTCTCTGGCAAGTGTTACTCTTCGCGCAAAGGGTTTATACCTAGATAAACGAATGCTTCGACTGAGGTCTGGGAACTCTGGTATTTTGGAATTATAAAGAATTTGTGCTTTTATTTTAACAATATTGGTTATATTTAGATGTATTCTTATTAATTGAAATACAGATTTGTAGAAGTAATACTTTGACAGTTTTTATTAATATAATATATTCATTTTTTATCTGACCATACCGAAGTAGGGAATTTTGAAACTTTATAGTAATGTAAAATTTGAATTACAATATTACACGATATTACATAATTAGTATTTATTTTAAGTAGGTACTAAATTTGTACTTGGAGAAAGTAATATCGATTTTTGATGTAAAACTTAAACCAAGAAAACAAATAAATTGTAGTTTGTTCAACAAGGGTGGATATGATAGCCATATCACACAAAGACGAAGTTTGAGCACGACGTCGTAGGCGGAGTACTCAATCGTCTGATTGTGATATGAACAATCCACTCGATATGGTAAGTATATTTTTTCTACGACCCACTAACGAAAATCTACAAATTTAAAAAAATATTTTAGATTATTTAGACAAAATAACTAATTTTAAAATAATTTACGAAGTTGACTAATTTATAAAATAAAATAAACATGAAAAATTAATTAGTCCTCGGCCTAGATTCGATCCAGGGCTTTTCGCGTGGAAGGCAGATGCTCTGTCCTCATCTTCACCGAAACTTTCAGGACTTTAGTTTTAATACTCGTAATTAAATTAGTATCATGTAGTTTGATTAAAATTATTTTTTTTTTAAATGTGGACACAATAAAAACAAAAATGCTATTATTTATCGAGTCTACACAAAAATTTTAATGTATATTTAATATCAATAACTAAAATATATATTGACAATTAGTTTAACAGAATTGTCACTTATTTAAAAAATTTTAAATAATAGGAGTTGGGTGACCAAAATATGAACTGTGATTTGTAGATTTAATTTTGTTAAAGTGTTCTCACTACCTAAAATGGATATAAAATATATTCGTAGTTGAACGCAATAACATACTTTTTCGTTTTGTAGTATGTGCGTAGATTGGCTAATATCCATGGACAGATTACAAAACGAAAAAGTATGCTATTGCCTTCAATTGAACGAATATATTTCATATCCATTCTAGGTAGTGAGAACACTGCAAAAAAAATAAATTCGCCAATCACCGTTCATATTTTGATCAATCGACTGCTATTATTTTTAAAATTTTAAATAAATTACAATTCTGTCAAACTAATTGTCAGTATACTTTTTAGTTATTGAGATTAAACATAGAATAAAATAAGTTATTCTTTTGGAAAACGTTAGCATGGATGACTAAAGGGTTTTGGGTTAATTAATTCTAAAAGTGTCGTACAAATGTTATTTTTTGTAGCCAATTCTTCAAAATTATTTTGAAATATCTTTTCAATATTGAATATTAGTTCTACAAATTCATCATTTGACAGTTGCAGATTTCCAAATGTATCTGAACTGGCGTTATCATATGCCTTTAAAAAGCAATAAAAAGAAAAATCATCTAATTCAACGTGATCTTTGTTATATTTAAGACAGGTATCGCAGGAGTGGATCCGCAAGGCTTTTATTAAAAGGTAACCACACACATACCTGATTAAATTTTTCTGTAACAATTCGTCTTTACAATAATTTAGGGTGTTAATAATTTCATCATAAAATAAAATACAAGGTGTTCCATTTAAAAAACATACATTTTAATTTGCCAGGCAAAAACGTGACACCCTGTATAACCAAAGATATTTTTAAAATATGTAGGTATTTTTCAAATCCATATAACTTTTATTTAAAACTTTCTTGCGTGTCTACAACAAAATAATGAACAATAACGCACTAATAGGACACCCTGTATAAATTGTATTTTTAATAATGAAAATTTCTTATAATGTGGTACTTATCGGTTTGGGTCCTTGGGAAAACTAAAGAATGTTTTCTTGCAGGTATAACCCTTATTGAAACAGCTTTTGACTGCACAAACAGAATGATGTCTTTTTTTTTCACTCATTCTACTCACAGCTAAAGAGTCACCAAAATAATAACAGTACCTTTAACTCAAACAAAATCTACGAAATTACAGGTTCCACGAAATTATACAATCAACGAAATTATACGCACGACTCAACACCTTGCCTAAGTACGCTTCTGAACGCCAAAACCGTCTTTTCCCTTCGAAGGCGGAGCTTAAGCGATGCGCGACGAAATCGACGCAAACCGTTGCCGCCAAGAGAGTGTTTTAGCTGTATTGTTAAGCTGTGGTATTACCGTAGTTAACACATCTGTCGGTGACGTTATTAACCTGCTGGACTTTGCCCTGAGAAGATATGGCTATCCTTAGATACCCCCCAGCGACAATCAGGTTTTTGGCGAGTTGATACCCTTCAGGATTTTAACGAGTTGGAAAGATGGGTTGAAACCAACCTTGCTGAAACTTCCACTGAAATTATCGAATACAATTTACTGCTTAATTTTTAACCAGTAGTGTCGAATAATAACAAGAAAAACCAATAAGCACGTTTGATCAATTTGCTTCTAAAGCGGACCAAGAATTCTATGTGTAAAGATTTAACCTATCAGTCTTGATTTTGCGTATTCAATAAAATAATTTTTTAATATTAAATTCCATTAGGTACTCGTCTCATTCTTAAGTCATTTGACCTTAATTCTAACTTATAACTACCAAAAAAGATATCACAGATAATAACAAAGCCAAATTTGCGCAACTATTTTTCAAAAATCCACTTGTCAATTCGCTTATACTGGGAAAACCATATTCGTAATCCTTATCGTCATCATTATCAGTAAATCTGCTTGTTATATTGGGAAATATCAGTGCTGATACTGATGTTGTGGTATTCGTGGTATGGATCACGGTGGTAGAGCTTGTTGTTGTTGTAGTAGTAGGTAATGAAGAATTAGTTAGAAAAATCGTTAAGTTGGTTAATTTTGGAAATTTTTTAAAGTCCTCAACAGTGAAGTTTTCAAAATGGGCGTAGTAACCAGGAGCTTCTACCTAAAAATATAATTATATTAAAAATAACAAGACATTTCATGTTTTAAAGAATTGCTCCAATGACAGAGATGCCTAATATTAACCAAATATTTCCATGTTATTGAAAGAAAAACTTTACCTCTAATACATATTGACCAGGTAACAGTATCCTCCAGAATTCTCCACTTTTTCTATCATTCCCGAAATATGCTTCTCTGTCACTTATTTTTAGCTTAGTTTTTATAGGTTTTTTGGTTTCCGAATCCAAAATTACCCCTGTGACTCCTCTGTGTGCTTGAAGACAGTATAACAGAAGTGGCTAAAAAATATACGATCTTGTATTTATTACCTTTGAACTAAATTCAAAAAAATCTATAATATGTGTATTTAAACATATTAAATTTTACCTTTTTATTTTCGTTCCATAAATTTGTAAGGTTTGGAGGAAATTTGCAGCAAGATAACTCTAAAGTCAACTCCATACAACCGTGATAATTGTAATTGTAATCACCCATTCCACCTAAAAACAAAACTTGTAAATTTATAACTAATATTAGCTCAAAGCATGTAGAGGTTAGGTGAATTAATTTCAGATTTGTTGGATTTTTTATCAAGCATTTCGAGTGGTTTAGTTGGATTCAAAAGATAGAAGAAGATATCAAAGTCACATATATCAAAAGGAAAACTAGAGACAACACTAAAACAATTTTCTGCGAATGTTCACCTATAGGATTTCACCAAACCATGAATAAGAAAAAAATGTATATTGGATGGGAAAGGAATAGCGTTTTTAAAGATTAAACTATACCCAAGTGTTACAACTGTGAAGGTTATTTTCATAAGAAGGAAAACTGCATCCATAAAATTGTATGTCCAAATTGTTCTGAAGAGCACCAAAAAAGTGATTGTTCAAATAATATAGTATCATGTAAAAATTGTGTTATATCGAATCTGAAATATAAAACAAAATATGATACCAGTCATGGATGTGATAGTAAGCACTGTCCTTCTCTTAACTATCATGTTCAACGTCATACTTCTTAAACTTATGGAAATTGGAGAGCCCCCTGCTCGTGACCCACATTTTGGCGGTTCACAGTAGCAGAATATAGTTCCCTGTAGAGATATAGGTAAAAAACTGTCAGTGTTTTAGAAAGGTATATTATAAACTTTCTAAAACACTAAAAGTTTTTTCATACATCTGTACTGATACCTATATTCTGTCACTGTGAACCACCCCACGAGCCGCCACTGTTGGAGAGGATATCATTTTAACGGAGCTTGAGAAAGAAAATGTTGATGAAAGAACCTGAATTTAGATGATATAGAACAGTTCACTAAAATTGTAAGTATTTCTAAACATTCTTCCTTTTTTAGGATTTTGCATATAAATATTAGACCCTACCTCTCTCTTATATAACAAACAAGTGCTTAATATAAGAACATTATATTATCATTGTTGTTGTACTTATATTTATAGAAAGCCTGAACTGAGACATACTGCAAAGCACTTGCACAACTCAAGATCCAGATTAAATGAGAATCTGAGAACTCCAGCAGTTCAGCGAGATGCAAGTCAAAGATTTGTAACTTATGTTGCTCCCAAAATCTTTAACACCGTACCTGTTAATGGGAGAAACATTATAAATTACTAGCGTCTATTTCTTGTACTTTACAAATGAACCTTCTTATGTGGCGCCATCTAGTGAAGTAAGGTGAAGTGATAACGACAGCTGTTCAGTTCGTTCGTGCTCACATACTTTGATTTCGTGCTTGTTAATTTGTTGTGTTCTGTCAAATTTGGAAAATATAATTGTAACGTTGCCGGATTGTGATAAAATTAGTAGTTAATGGAAAATTGTGATTGCCTATACCGGTCCATAAATATGCAACAAGAAAACGAAGCAACGACTTATCGTGGGGTAGCGGCTTCGCCACCAAAGAAACATCAACCCATACCTGGCTACGCCGACCGGCATAAACTTCAACGGCCTGGACACAGCTCAAATTGAATTGAAAACGTAAACTTTTTCACATAATTTCTTGCGATTGCGCATACCACTTCATAAATATGTAACAAGAAAACGAAGCAACGACGTCACCCTACCTGCTACGCCGACCGGCATAGACTCCAACGGCCTGGACACAGCTCAAATTGAATAATTGAAATGAAAAGTCTCAAATAAACACATTTATATTCTGGTTTTATCATCTGGCCTGGAGCCATTGAAAAAACAGCCACTGTCATTTCTGTTATGTACGGTCTTTTACTATGTTTGACAACTCCACATTTATATAAATAAAAATATCAGTTGTCATATTATTCATAAACAAAAAATAATATAGAACGGTATTACCATGAATATATTTATTTAGAACAAATAACAAAAAGCAATTGGCACCATCGCTAAAATTATTGAAACGGCCACTTTTGCGCGCGCTAAATCATTTGAAGGTCAATGCTGGGTTCATTTGTAGAGCACAAGAAATAGACGCTAATTAAAAAATTTTAAATTATTTCAGAAGAAATCAAAACAGTATATCACTTCTAATATTGGTGCATATAATAATAATAATAATAAATAAACTTTATTCACCAATTTTCAAAAAAAAATAAAATTACAATCTGAAGAGCATAACAATTATTGGTGAAAAGGTGCAAGATCAGTATGAAACTGTTCTTCCTCTTGAACCTAGGAATAATAATATTAAAAAAAATATTATTAAAAAAAAATAACAATAATAATAAAAAAAAAAGATAAAAAAACAATACAACGTCAGTATTTGTATATAAGAAGAAGAAAAAACGCATTACAATACAAATATATAAAAGTGGAAAAAACAAAAAAAATAATCCCAGAGATGTACTCTAGATAATTTTGTATTCTTATTACAGATATTTTAAAACTATGTATATAGTGCTTCTCAAAAGTCCCCTCCCCCTCTTTTTTTTTTGAACGGTGGTACTTAGACTGATGAAATTTGAAGGGTAAAAATGAACTATTGTAAGCTTGTCTACTAGTGGTAATAAGTGACGTAATAGGCATCGGTGACGTCACCAGGCAACTGAAACCAATAATATTAAATGGGACCTTATGGCAAGTAACATCTCGTTTGAAAGGTATTTAGAATGCCTATTCAATCATACTATTTTTTTTGGATTTACGATGTTTTTTTTTAATATTGGTTTCAGTTGCCTGGTGACGTCACCGATAGTGACGTCACATATTACGTCACCTGTTACCACTAGTAGAGCAGCTTACAATAGTTTATTTCCACCCTCCAAATTTCATCAGTCTAGGTATCACCGTTCAAAAGAAATGAGGGGGGAGGGGACTTTTGAGAAGCACTGTATATGTATGTATACTATAAGTATAAATGTGTATATTATACTATACTATTACTTTACTTTAGCACATACAGGTGCTTACACCTAAGTGCTTTAACTTTAATTATAATTTAATTATTATGTTAATTTAATTTTTAATTGTATGAAATGTATTTGTATCAAATCACATCAAATAAATAAATTGTAAAAGAGGATATTGGACACAATAATGGTAATTAAAATTAAAAAAATAGGTGGAGCAAGACTTGCGAGGATAAATAATCAACCAGTGGAAATTTAGTCGAGGAAATGATGGATATGGACAATTGGACATAGATATGAAAAAATAAGTACAATAACTGGCTAAAAAGGAGTATGCAGTAAGGATTCTGTATGATGCGCTTCTAGCCTCAACTCTATATATAGCAGCAATTAATTTAAATGGTGGATTTAAATCCAGAAAAATATAATATTTAAACCTACCATCAAATGAATACCAGTCTGCTCCATTTGTAATTCCACCTTTAAATTCTTTAACATCACTAGGACACCCTTTATTGGTACTCATAACTGGGTGACTATTGGCATAGGTCCTTGCCAAATGCTTAAAAACATCGTCATCAGGTGTTAAATATTCACTATCATCATCATTATCACCATCTATCGATAAAAAGAGAAACAAATAATAAAATGTAAAAATGTTACTTGTTAGTCGCTAGACAATGCTATAAATGTAACAAGAAATACTTGGAAAATTGTAAATAAACATAATGAAAATAAACCAGACTCATTAGATCATTAATAACTGAAATGAGTATTATTGTAATATTGCTGATTTTTTGAATAAAACCTTAAATCGAAAGTTACATTCTATAGGTTATTTACATACTACTAAACCACTCTTGACCTTTGCTCTAACGGTTAGAGTCTAACCTATACTAACATAGGGGAACTAAAGGATACATTTAAACTAATAAAAAATTAATTTTCCTTCGGATATGATAAAATATCTATCTAAATTTTTAAGAATAATTTACAGGACATTGCGTTATCTGTACTAGCAATTCTTATTAATGGAAGTTTCAGATTAGGTATATATATTCATCTTTTCTTAAAACTAGTGTAGCCATACCACTGCATAAAAGAGGCGATAAAGTTACTCTTATAATAACTCTGAATAAATTAATTAAAAAGCTTGTTAAATTTCGCGTTTATAAGTTTTTAAATGAATTCAATATTCTAACAGTAACTCAGTTTAGATTTCTAGCACAGCAGATGCAATCTTTACCCAGACAGCACACCAAATCCTTTGGATATCTACTGGACATCTCAATATCCACTGAATGTCCAGTCCATGGTGGAAATCCATTTTATATCCATGAGATGTAATTTATAGACATGCAAATGTCCATAAATAATAGTAATTATATAACAAATTATTAAAAAATTACGCCATTGTGGCTAATAGTACCGTTTAGATATTTAAAATTATTTTTTTTAAGGTGTATTCAATATCCCGTGGATATCCACTAAATATATCAAAGTCTAGGCCCGAACGCAAACCATGGTGGATATCCACTAGATGTAATTTACTTAAATATTACGCCATGTGATAACTAAGAAAGTATGTAGGTATGGTTTATAGAAATTTAAAATTAATAAGTTGTATTCAATATTCCACAGATATCCACTAGATAAATAATATTGGCAATGAACGGGAGCGCAGGCGCTGATATTATCTGCTCTCATAGCTCACAGGTGGCATCGGCCATTTTATAGTTTGTTCTCGTTTTGTTTGTGTTGTGTGTATGAGTTTAATTTGATAATTTTGGATTAAAAGGAGGTAAGTAAGCTTCAAAACCTAAATTTATTAGTGTCATAGGTTGATCGACTTTAGTTAAATAAAACCATGGTTAAATTTACGTTATTAAGATTGTCAAGTAGGTTGTATGCAATGTACGTTAAAATCCGTGTCCTTTTTAGGTAATTCACAACTAAAAATTCATGTCGTTTTTACGATACCCTATTTTATTATAATTAAGATGGATTTTATTTTACCTACCTTCATATACCTACTTATTTCGTGTGATTATTATTGTTGGAGATTCGGTATTCAATAGCATGTATGAAGAATTTAACAAATAAGGTTAGCTGTTTAGATAAATAAGTATAATGTATACACAGATCCAGCCCTTTTAAATTATTATTTAGTGTTATATATTGTATAAGTGACACTGTGTACAAAAGGCTTTTTCAGACTTCATTTTCGTTTTGGGTATACCTTGATTTAAAATATAGTTTCACTTTTTGAGGAATTCTACAACAGAGCTTTTTTTTTTTTTTAGGAAGAAAATTACAGTTGAAATTGCGTGTGAAATGTATAATGTGTGTGTATGTGTGATTAGGTTTAGGATTTTCTTGGCTGCGAGTACTATTCGTCAGCTTAAATGTAATATATTATTTAATATAATAGTATGTTTCTATATAGTTTACTTTTTTTTAAATATATTTAGCCTGTTAATAATATTTGTCTTTGTTTTACTTAACTATACTTAATATAACAACAATAAAGAATAAGATTTATTTGTAAGATACTTATATGTTAGATAACTCGTGCGTTTAAAACTTACTTCACATATTCAATGACATTTTGGTGGTATGTTAGGTATGGTGTACAATATTTAATTGTAAAAATAATATGCTATACCTATGCTATGTAGCGTCTAAATTAGTTAATACTAGAATAGTAAACCTTATATGGGTGTATATACCAAATTAAAAATACAGGGCGTTCCGTTTTTATGCTACTGAAATGCTGATTTTCATCATATGGAATGTTTTTAGATTATGCAGTACATTGTTCCACTTATCGTTCACAAAAAAATTTAAGAATTATTAAATACGACACCCTATACGTATATAATTTTTAAATATATTAAATAATAGATGTACACTAGATATGTTAAACATCTATAGGATATATCCATTGGTTACTTATGAACCTCTACTAAAGGTACCTATTAGATATTTTGCTGGATATCCATAGAATATCTTCTATATCCTGGATATAGACGGACATTTGGATATCCGTATTAGATCCACTAGATATCTATAATATCCTGTAGATATATTGGATATCCACAAAAGATATTCTGTGGATTTCTCTGGGATTTCGTGTATTGTCTGGGAGATACCCATTGGATATTTTACTGGATATCCATAGAATATCTTCTATATCCTGGATATAGACGGACATTTGGATATTCATATTAGATCCACTGGATATCGATAATATCCTATGGTTAAATTGGATATCCACAAAAGATATTCTGTAGATATCTCTGGGATTTGGTGTGTTGTCTGGGAAACTGTTTCGAAACAGTTTACAACAGTATTAACATAGGTGAAGCTGCTGTAGCGGCCCTCTGTGACCTAAAAAAGCTTTTGATTGCGTGAGCCATGGACTGATACTGCAGAAGCTTCGTCGTTATTATATTAAAAATATTGCTTTGAAGTGGATGGGATCTTACTTCGCGTTCACTAGATGTTAAGTAGAGTATCCCTCAAGAGTCAGTTCTTGGCCCGTTACTGTTTCTAATTTATGCAAATTTATGCATTTCTTAATATTTCAGCCGACTTGACATTATTTGCTGACGATACAAAACATTTATGGCATTCTAAAGAATCAAGCAAAGTTCCTGATATGATATCTCGTGATCTTTTAAAAGTAAATGAGTGGTGTGAGGCCAACTTTTTAACACTAAGTACTAGTAAAACGAAACTGTTAACTTTTAAAAATATATTACCAAACTTAAAGTTGGAGTCGCAAAGATGCTTGTACAAATATTAATAGATCTGCTAGATTTTTTTGGAGATTTGGCTTTGATTATACCTAAATCTACCTTGGTCAAAGAATCAGAAATATACAACGGCATTAAATTTTTTAAATCATTACCCTATCACTTAGAAACATGAATACTCCCAATAATTTCAGGAAACATCTACATGCCGACCTAGTAGACAAATCATACTATGGATATAGTTGAATTTTATCTTGACATAGTAAATATGAGCATTATATTAGAAGTGTAACTTTTAAGTATTTTATTCGTTTTATTTGGATTTTATTTTATCCTTTTATCTTTTTATTTATTTTTATATTTCATGTGTTTGTCCATAAGCTAATGTATCTCTGACAATAAACATATATTCTCTTCTCTATTAAATTATTATTTTTCTTCTAAAACAACGTATATTTGAAGATTAAACTTACTTGGGTTTATAGAGTCATAAGGATAGTTAGCAACCATGGCTCCCTCATGCAATGCAGCAGATAAGATGAATTTGGTCTCCTCCATCCATTTCATAACGGCTTTGGATTCTTTAGCCTGTACTAAATCAGGATTGGGATGGAAAAAATCGGGAAAATTTCTATTCAAGTCGATCTTTTTGGTAGGAACTTCTCTACCTAAAAAAAGAACATTTAAAAATAAGTTAGTTACATCCAAGGTCGAGTTCGACAAGGGAAACAGATTGAGATTTATATGAAAAATTGTTTCTGAAGTAGGAGATGGAAAATATACCATATTCTTTTTTGAAATGACAGTTATCTACTATCTCTGAGTCATTTTCTGTAGATCAGTCATTAATTTTAAAATACTTAAATTACTACATACCTTTCATACCGTTACAACTGTTGCCAGCATTACTAAAACCATCTGGGTTTATTGAAGGTATAATATGTATTCTGGTATTATTCAATAACCAAGAAACCAATTTCACCTTTCCATATGAATCTATTAGATGCTAAAAATAATGAAGAAATCATGATTCATAATTAAAACAAAACTATTGAATACATTTTTTGTTGTAAATCTTTACTATCTACATCGCATAATCCTGACTAGCAGAAAATGTCTGCCATTGTTTGTTATTAGAAATATTAGAATTACTAATTTTAAAACAGGGATAAAGATAAATTTATATCTGATTTATACACATACTTTGATTTTCTTTTACTATACGGAGAATGGTCGCACTGCGCAGCTTTCTGAGTGCCTTTTAAAAGGAGAGAAAAAACTCCGCCATTTTGATCCCTTATTACGTGTTGCCTACATCTTGGCGCAATATTTTTAATAGGTGCGTTTTAATCATCCGCTTCTGCTTCGGAATTGTCGGTTTTCCTGTTTTAATCTGACAGGTTAAAACGACTAAACCAAACGGAAGCAGAAGCGGATGATTAAAACGCACCTGATATTTTGCTTGCTGCTGTCAGTGTCAGTGAATATTATTTTTGGAGTCACAGTTTATTGCTAAGGAATCAGTTAGCTCACTCGGACCAGTTGAAAGTTCCAAAATAACATCCACTCCAGGGATACAAATTCAGGATACGCCGAAGACTGCTGTTTTATTATAGGCGGTTGTCATATATTGTATTATCCGAGTTGCGCAGTGTATAAACTGGAACATTGAGATCAAAAGTGCCGACGCAGAGTGAGCGATCTGATTCTTTAGCTATAAACTGTGGCATAGGAATCAAAATGGCCGCGCCCTATGTTGGGCGTGTCAAACCTCTCTCTTGCGCCGTATAGTAATCTAAGTATGTAGATTTATATGTGTTATATTTATTAGCATACCTCTATAAAATGAAGAAGTAGTTCTCTACCGCCAGCTTCATTACCGTGCATATTGCCTAAAAGTTTGACATTTGGAATGCCAGTTACGTTTTCAGGAGCAGCAGTTAATTCCAATACCCATAAAGGAAAAGGTTCATCTACGGTTTAAGAAAAATTAATAAAACGGAAAACGAAAATATTTTTGGTTGAATATGTATTTAATTTTTAATTATAATAAGTGTTGATAGCCATGCTCTACTATTGACCTATTCCAATACATTTAGTAGTCTATTTTTTTTTAATTTTATAGCTAGTCTCTTTTTGATTGAATTTATTAATGTAAGTTCTCTTCAGGCTTTGTTACTGTTTTCCAGTGCCACTTCAGGAACAGCACTGTTAATTAGAACAAGTGAATTGTCGAACTAGGAAATCCTACCTATGCATCAGAATTCTTTTTAAATAAATTAATTTAAAAAATCGCAGCCAAAGATGGGATTCGCAAGTCCAAACTCTAAGCACTGAGTCACTTTAGAGTAGTTTTGACAGTTTGACATATTGTCGATTTTGGTTATGTGTATATAGTATTATTGTTGTACCTAATCCACGGTGTCAGAAGTGTAATTGCGCTGTTATTAATGAAAAATTTTTGAATATAATGTAATGCGAGCCATTTTTGACCAGTCTATACTCTAATCTCTTAATTCCCTCTCTGCCTTGTTTGGACCTTTTACGGTCTCACTTGTCCGGTTACAAATAATATTGAATATAGCAAGTCGCCTTCGGAACCCCTTTCCGATACGCCTACGCTATCTAGTCATTGAGATAGAATAAAGGGGAAATGGATGTTATGACGTTACTAAAAGTGTTCGCATCTTTTAAATATTTTTTTAAATGATACAAAAAGTTGTTCATTTCAATTTAAATATCACCGGCCGACACGATTTTTGGGTCTGACCTCTGCATGTGAAATTTTGGTTATGTTACAAATAAAAGAAAAAATAATTTTTCTGATCAAAGTTTGTTTTTGTAGAGACTATAGCAGTTTTTCGAATTTTCAAGAAACCTTACTGATTGTTTTACTGATTGTTTTTTTAATTCAAGAATAATTGCATATAAACGTAAAATAACAAAAAATCAAGTTTAGAAATGAATATATTTAGTAATCGTTTTATATTTGCATGGACTTTCTCGTATTTAACCCCAAATGTAATTTCCCATCATATTCTCGTTGTACTGCCCTTGGTAACGTTGTTCAAAGTCCCTCACATCTTGGTGAAAACGTTTTCCTTGCTCATCTGAGTAGGCACCCATATTGCCTTTAAATTGATCCAGGTGAGAATGTAGCATATGAAGTTTATGGGACATTTTTCAGCCCATAATTTTAAATATTTTAAGCATAGTTTCTCTTTATAATTGTCAGCTCTGTTTTTACCAAGAAAACCATTAACTACTGCTTTAAGACTAGCCCAGGCTTGTTTTTCATGAGCATTGAGGAATTTTATGAAATCGTCCTCATTATTTGTTTTCTTTGTGGTCCGACGAAAATACCTGCTTTTACTTTATCTTCAGATAATTTGGGTAAAAAACCCTTTAAATATTCAAAGGCTTTAGAATCTGGATCCAGAGCTTTTACAAATTGCTTCATTAGGGAGAGAGAGGGAGAGAGAGAGAGAGAAATTTAAATATTATTAAATTAAATTATCCTGTAAAATTATTTTTGTTGTTTTATTGTTTTTTTTTTAATTTGCTGTCATCGGCATCGACTATTAAGGCCGTTAGCCTCGTGTTCTGTGCAGGCTTTATTACTGCTTCCCAGCGTCACTTTAAAAAATATTTTGTTTCCTATTTTGAATTTCGAAATAATGAGTATAACCTATCTAGTGACTAAAAGTAATAGTAGTTTATGCCATATCGCACGAAGTTTTTTCTACACTCACATGGATATTCGCTTATCTACACACAGAGTACAAAACGAAAAAGAAGATCTGGGTAATTCCTAGTTAAAAAGTAATTAATAATTACAATTACTTTTTTTTATATATAATTTGTAATTGTATTTAAGTACTTTCTTCTCAAAGTAATTTGGAATTGCAATTGCAGCAAAATCTGTGGAGGAATTGTACTTTGTAATTATATTAATGTATATTATTTAAATTGTCTAAATACAAGTACCTTTCATAATTACAATTACTTTTCCAATTACAATTACTCTTCCAATTACAATTACTTTTCCAATTACAATTACATTTTTCCAATTACATTTATAAGTACAATTACATTTTTAAATTATAATTACTTTTAAATACGTGTTTATGAGATGCATGTGATATAAAAACAAAAAATTTCTTGTTCGAACCGGTCACTAGAGCTCGGACTCGCATCCATATCATTTGTTTGAATACCTTTGAGGAAAACGTTGTGCCGTGAAGCAGTGAAATTGTTCAACTCAAAATAATAATAGTAAGGGGCAAATAGATGCAGACATCCTTATTTCTAAGATGTATTTTGTATTTATATAATTATAAACATAATTTATGTTGCATAAACATTATCAACTAAGGAAATAAGTATGAAGTAGTGCAAATAGTAGTTTTTATAGGGTAAATACTAAAAACTACTTATTTACGTTGCGTAGGTATTTCTAGTTATTATTCTAGTTTCCTACATTGAAATGTGGGCGTAGAAAAAACATATTTTTTACACCTACAGGGATATTAGCTTATCTACGCACAGATTAAGAAAGGAAAAGTGAGCTATTGCGTGCAACTGAACGAATATATTTCACATCTATTCTAAGTAGTGAGAACACTGCAAAAAAAAATTAAATCCACCAATCACATTTCATATTTTTGATACCAAACTACTATTATTTTTAAAATTTTAAATAAGTGACAATTATTCTATCAAAATAATTATGAGTATATTTTTTAGTTATTGAGATTAAATATACACTTAATGAGTTATTTTTATTTAGAATCGATAAATAATAATTTATAGTATTAAAACTAATATACTAAATGTGGAGGTGGAGGTGGAGGTGATAGTACAGCATCTGTCTTCTACGTGTCAGGCCCGAGTTCGAGTCGGGGTTGGTGGATTAAATTAATTTTTTTTTCATCAATATTTTATTATATAAATTAATAAAAGGTATAAATTATTTAAAATTAGTTCTTTTGTCTTAATAACTCAAAATATATTTTTTTTCACACCCACATGGATATTACCGCGCAGGTTGCAGAACGAAAAAGTATGCTATGGCCTTCAACTGAACACTGCAAAAAAAATGAAATCCACCAATCACAGTTCATATTTTGGTCAACCGACTGCTATTATTTTTAAAATTATAAATTAGTGACTATTCTGTCAAACTATTTGTCATATATATTTTTTAGTTATTGGGATTAAACATACATTAAAATGAGTTATTCTTATGTAGAATCGACAAATAATAGAATTTATATTTTTATTTCGTCTTTAATTATAAATAATTTGTTAATTTAAATAAAACTATATGAAGTCAATTTAATTACGAGTATTAAAGCAAAAAATAAACGCGTAAATGGTCTTGTGGTTAGGGTGCTTGCCTTCTATACGGAAGACTCGAGTTCAATGATAGAGAAAAATTACATAATTTTTTTTCTTTTGTAGTTTATTTTATTTTATAAATTAGTCATAAGTCATAAAATATTTTTAAATTAATTATTTTATCTTAATAACCCAAAATAATTTTTAATATTTGTAGACTTTCGTTAGTGGGTCGTAGAAAAAATACTGTACAACTCGAGTGGATTGTCCATATCGCACTCAGACGATTGAGCAAACTTCGTCTTCGTGCGATATGGCCATCGTATTCATTCTTGTTACACAATAGCAGTTTGAAAAACTATTACTTCTACACCCACATGTATATTAGCTTATATTCGCACAGACTACAAATCTAAAAATGATGCCATTACTTTCAACTGAATGAATATATTTCATATCTAATCTACCTAGTAAGAACACTGCACGGATATAAAATCCACCAATCACTGCTCATATTTTGATCACGTAGCTACTATTATGTTTTAAATTTTATATAAGTGACTCTATCAAACTAATTGTCAGCATATTTTTTATTTATCGAGAAAAAAATAAATGTAAAACTGTAAAAATCTATGCAAGATTTTTACATTTTACATCGATACATTAGGAGTATTAAAAGTAAAATGGTAAATGTGTCGATGGAGGTGAGGCCAGGGCGTTCAGCTGGTATGCGAGAGGCCAGGGTTCAAACCTGGACTGGAGGCTAATTAAATTAAATCGTTTTTTAATGTTTATTTTATCTTACAAATTAGTAAAATTAATAAATTATTTTTAACTTACTTATTTTGTCATAATAGCCTAAAATAGTTTTTAAAATTTGTAGATTTTAGTTAGTGGGTCATAAAAAAAATACTGTACAACTCAAGTCGATTCTACATATCAACTATTGTTGCACAAACTAATGTTACGGTTTATTGGAGTACGTTTACACGGAAGTTATTTAAAATTTTTAACGCGTTATTTCAAACTTTAATTGAAAATGCTATACCACAATGAAATAACGAGAATTCCTTTTCTCCTTTTTCGTTTCTTCACTTCTTCGCTACTTCACCATTTTCGCTTTTTCGCTACTTCATCATTTTCGCTTCATAAAAAAAATACTGTACAACTCAAGTCGATTCTACATATCAACTATTGTTGCACAAACTAATGTTACGGTTTATTGGAGTACGTTTACACGGAAGTTATTTAAAATTTTTAACGCGTTATTTCAAACTTTAATTGAAAATGCTATACCACAATGAAATAACGAGAATTCCTCTTCTCCTTTTTCGTTTCTTCACTTCTTCGCTACTTCACCATTTTCGCTTTTTCGCTACTTCATCATTTTCGCTTGTTCCCTTTTTCCCTGTTTCGCCTTTTCGATTTTTCGCTTTTTTCGCTTCCGTATTTTAAATTCCTAGATCATCGCTGGGACAAGCGCATTCGAATTAATGGAAGTTACGTCAAAAAATAAAATAATTGTTGAATTTTCTTTTTTAGTTTAGTTCAGGGACGGATCATATCGAACAAACCTCGTACATACGAAGATTATTGATAAATATGGTAAACATTTTAACATTCATATTTTAAA